ACTTACTCTTGGTCCAGGTACAGCAACAGCATTAATCATATTACTTTCACCAGGTACAATTTCAGTTGGTAACTAAGAATATAAATAAATTATTATTATACATATTTATAATTTTACATAATATATTTTAAATTTTATATTCGATACTTACTGGATTTCTTTCTGGAGTTGTACGCAGATCATCTCGAACTTCTATTGTGATGTATGATAACATATATATATTATATATTTGTAATATACAACGCTATTATTAAATTTAATATAGAAGAAAAGAACATTTTAATACAATACAAAAAATGCTTAAAATACAAATATACAAAAATATAAAATAAAGATTAAAAAGAGTGAATCTTATCTATTATTTTTTAGGATTAATAGATTATATATATATATTATCTAATTGATAAAACATGAAAAAATTTTTTAAAACGTAAATCAAGACATTTCAAATGAATCAATATTTAGAAAAAGAATTAATTATATGATTAATCAAATCATTATTTAAAATATTCGTAATAATATTGATAAGAATTACACCTGATACCAAATGAAACAATACATGATATTGTAAATTGAAAAATGAAAACATACAAAATTAAACAATTATTACAAACAAATCACTTGTTAATTATTATGAATACTTTGAAGTAATAATAAAGCCATAATATTATTACCTTTGATAAATATTTATATAACAAATTATTGATATCATTGCATTAATACTACAAACTAATAAAAGATAACTGTAAATGAAAACATAAGTCAAAAGTATATAATAAATATTCATGTTAGATTAAGTTTCATTTTTCAATATGTGCAATATGTTTTTATTATTTTTTGATAGTAAAACTTATTCTATAATATATAGAAAATATATTCTATAATATATAGAAAACTTATTCTTAATTTTCTAAATTAATTAATTAAGCATGCAAAATTTAATTTTTTAAATAAATTTTTAAAATGCTATGAAAAATATAAATATAATATATAAATGTATTCAAATTTTAATTTTTTTTTTTAATTTCTTTATATTTTTAAATATATGTCTTTTGTTATTTTGTTACTTTTTTTTATTATATATTATTAAATATAACATTTAATGGATTTTATATATTATTTGGGACGTAAATTTTACACAGAATCATCAAATACCTTGAATAAAAGATCGAATTGTTGTTTGTGCTGGTGAATCTGTAGACAATGCTGATCTATAAAAGGTTTGTAATGTTTCTGTCGGTAATCCACTCCTGCCTTTATGCAACATATAATTAAATTTGTTTTGTTTTATAATATTTTGTTTGAATTATTTATTAGGTTTTAATTTAATTATATCTAACTTTATATGTTCCAAGAATTCATATTTTTTTATCAAAATTGAAATATATTTTATATATATTTATATATATATTTATAATATATAATTTTTAAAAATTATATTACATATGCTTATTATTTTTATATAAATATTTTCCACAGAATATTTTCCATCAAATATATATGATATGTATACATACTTGCGGTATTAGACGTAACAGATGATGGTAGTGGAGTAGTTGTAGTTATAGTTTCTAAATATAAAAATATTATTAAAATATTAATCCATGTTTCATTTATATTTAAATTTTCAAAATAAATTTTTAAAGCAAAGTTTTATTCAAAAATTATATATAAAAATTCTATTTAATTTTTAACATTCTATTTAATTATAATGTCTTTTTTTACTTATCTTAAACATTACTTGTCTTATAATATTTTATAATATGTACATATATTTTATATATGAAATTTATAAATTTGATTTTAATAGAAAATAAATATTAATATTATATATACAAAATATAAATATATATTAAATTATGATAAATGATTTAATAAATATATAGAAAGATAGTAATACCGGAATACATTGAGATGAGTGTCGTTTAATAGAGTGCAATAAAAATTTTAATTGTTAATTTTTATCAATTAACGTAATTGATTAATTG